TAATGATGTTACATAGTTATAAGTCCATTTAATTATTTTATTGTATATTTCTTGTATATTGCAACGCCCGACAGGGTCTATAATGGTCACTGTAACTGCTAATGTACTGTACATTATAGAAGCAATAAACGATTTGAAATTGAAAATTGAAATTGAAATACTTCTTTTTAAGAGCGCTGGTGCTTACATCCCGAAACGTTGATGCGCCAGCCCAGGCCCGGTAGCACTCCTGCTTACAGCGTGATGCTATTTTACAGGAACGACCTAACCATGGCTGGGATCTACCTCCAATGGGAACCACAGAGGATGGAATAAAAAGTTCCATACCCTGAAGTATCTCATCAGCGACAGAATCAGCAAAGATCGTCCGGCGAGAAGCAAACCCGCCCTCAAGGGTAGGATGCAAAAAAAGACCGCATCCCATCCCAGTCGGCCAACCTATAGTGCGAAACACGGCGGCAGCCTGCAGAATGCAACCGCGACGTTAATGTGACTGGCACCACACTCCGGTCAAGACAATGGTCCAAGAGTCTGAAGTGGTATCGACGGAACCCTTATATCCGTCCAGATGAGAGGTCAGCAGGGAAGGTGTATGATCTTCCACATCTGGAATCCGCGTAGGCGTAGTGACCTGTTGTGTCAGACCATATGCCAAAGCAAAGTCATAAACAGATCTCCCAGCATGATCGGTTGAACGTGAACGTTGTGGGCGTGGTGGGCGTTAAAATTGTCAAGGATCACGATCTCTGCATATGGGATCTGCTGTAGCATGGAATCTGTAGCCATTTGGACGTTGTCAAGGAGTCGGTGTGTTTCGGTATTACCGCTATGGGAACTATAGAGGGACCCGTAGACGTGGGATAATCGTCACTGTCTACGCGCAGCCATAGGATGGACAGGTCTGTAACTTCAAGACTGCCGAGGCGTCGAAAACAGATGTCTTCTCTGACATATACGCAAACTCCAGCCCGTAACACAAAGGAATGTTCTAATTTGTACCCCGGGTATGATAGATATGAAGTATCAGCCGGAGAGGACACCTGAGTCTCGGTTAAAAAGAGCAAGGCTGGCTTCGCCGTCTCCAGATGGTAGTAGACAGCGTTAAGTTTGGAATAAAGTCCCCTGATGTTGCAAAAATTCACGGATATCGTGGCAGGGGTCGCCTTGGTGTCGCCCGGAGCAGTTTTTGTCACAAGCGGTTTTGCCCCCCCCCCCTACCACAGAATACGCGGGGCAGCCCGAGCACCCACGCTCAGGAACAATACGATAATTTGGTCGTGGATGCTCAACGAGGGATTCTCCGTCACCAGTGGTGTCGGTACCCTCCTGGGGTAGATCTTCTCTTAATTCCGCTACCATGTTAAGGGGGGATTGGGCCTCCGGCCACCTGCACTCACCAAGCGAAACGCAGAGGTCTCTCTACTTTACGCTGGTATTCTGTGAGGTCGTGGTACGGGGTTTGAGCCCATCCGTGTGACAGCAAAAGCTACCGCGTGGCTCTAGCACTGTAAAAAGGGTTTGGAAGCTATCCGTCATTCGGCGTACTCAACAGACCTTGCGCCTATAGACTTCTACTTTTTTCAGAATTTAGATAACGTTTTGGCGGGAAAAATATTAAATACCTGAGAGGCAATACAAAATGCCTTTGAAGAATTTGTTTTCCGTCCAGCTGATTTCTTCAATAAACTACCATTGCGTTGTAAAAGATGAATCGATTGCATGGGTGATTACTTTGATTAATGGAAATAAAAACTATAAATAACTTATTTCATAAAAACGGCAATTTCATAAGTAGAGACTAAGTAAAGACTTAATATAATAATTTAGTATAAAATTCCAGAATTTTGTAAGCTTGACGTTACTTGCGTTCCGCATGTCACATTTAATGGTCTAATAGTCCTATGATATGTACTATCTATTTTGACAAAACCATATTATGTTGGTCCATCCAAATTCAGAATATCAGTGGTTCTGTTTTTGCCAAGCTTAGTACTTGAAACCGTCTTAGGAACTTTATTCCGGTCAAGTAAAGATAACTCTGGCGTAATCTCTTATTAATCCCATTATTATAGTCAACCAAATCTAAGAAACACCCTTTGACGATTCACATTTTGCAGAAACAAAGCAAAATATTTAAAAAATAAAAAGTATCAACTATTTTACTTGACGTCGTTTCAATGATGTGTCGCTATGTACCTTACCGTAGTGTTTAGATGATTAAAATTCATTGTTATGCCAATAATCGGCAAAAATATTCAATTAATGGGTAAAACTATCAAATAATCGAATCATTAATTTGTTTAATGCATTATTTGTTTAATTAAATTTTTATTTTTAAAATTCCTTTTAAATTACATGAATCATGAATAAAACAAGTCATTTTTTATTTTTAAATTTGTGTAGAAGCTCATATACAAGGCCGCGCTGTAAAAACCACTACGTAATTTCAATCTCCCGCCATTTCGGGAGCGTACTGTGGGTAATTTTGTGATTTTGTGTTTGCCTTTTTATATTTTTATTTCGTGACTCGGCTTTAACTTTACGGACCGTTTCTTCTATATTTGAAGCCGAAGCCCATGTCACAAAGATGATTGGGTATTGGTAGAAAAAAACAAAAAAAATATTATGGATGACTTTTCAAAGAGACATTAATTTTGACTGCATTATTGAAAATCAAATAATAATTAATCTAAACAACGACAGCTCAACTAGTTTTACTCAAAGTGATCGAATAAATTTATTTTTAATCTAGTTTCAATCTTAAATTTTTATAACTTTGGCCTCTAGAAATAAGCAGTAACAAGAAATAAGAATAAAACTGATAAATCTTGCGTTTTAAATTATCCGTTTTAAATTTATTTTTGTATTATTCAAACCAAACTGTAAATGATTACCAACTCTAAATAATCTATATCAATTTTTTAGAATCGAATATTGTACGTTTGGTTGGCATGCTTGGCGCAATAAGTCTGACGGCTGTCAAAATAAATTAAATATATTATATAACAAAAATAAATGTTGATATTACTGACATCTATAATACGTCTTTAATTGAACCCTAATCCGTTAAATATAAATATGTAGCGGCGCTGTCGTCGCGCCACAAGTGAAATACACCGAAGCCTAAATCATAAACAGTATATATAGAACATCTCCATACTATCAACACGGAGTGTCAGCCGCTCTCCGGGCAGAACACCTTGCCCGGCGAACACCAGAACTCCTTTTCCTTCTACGGCCACAAATATAACCGCCTATAGAGTAGATAGCTGTATATACATAACTACATACAGCTATATATAGTCAACATAATACTGAGATTAGTTCAAGGGATATGATACCAGACGGCGACACTATTCATATTGGATGACAAAAAATCCTAGGAGATGGCTCTCTATTTCTGTATACTCTACTCTATGATGAATTTCTTAGATTTGGTTGACTATAATTATGCTGATGTATTTTTTCTTGATCTTAATGAGATTTTCATTGATAAGCTGGATCGTCTTGTCAATAACTGCATCCGTTTTATTTTCGGCTTTGCGAGTTTGATCTTTTATCCTCACTCAGCACTCAGTTTGAATGACTTCCTTTATCTTTTCGTCAGCGAAGACATGAGGATACTTAATACAATTTTATCTATTTTATTCTATAACCACTATCTTTGAAACATAAGTTTCAGTTCCTACGCGACACTCATACTCATGACCAGTGATGTGCAAAATAGGTCGTAAAATGTATTTAAATGTAGAATGCAAATACTTTTTGTATTTTGGTATTTCAAAAACAATATACAAAATAACTTAACAGATTTTAATAAAATAATTTGATCATATACACTGTCGCTCATCTTTCTCCTGTGTGGTATCATAATCATGCCACTATAAGAAAAAAGTCTTTCTACCGGTGCAGAGCTACGCAAGCAGGTATTATATTTCAAGAATAACATCTTTACTGTAGAGTATTTATTTAATGATTGCAGGCTGACATCATTATCCTTCAAATATTGCAATGATTCCAGGTCAATAGTGGTGTTTGCATTTGCACTATCACTAGCCAGTGAGGAATCCGAATCAGCATATAACATGTAGTAAGATTCATTTTTTTAAATATAGATATAAATAGTAGATATGACACCGATCGCAAAATTGCATCTTTAGCTTTAGGATCCTTCAAATCATGAAATTTTCTAAACCTCTTTTCTAGGCTTTTTTTATTGTCTCTATCAGTGCTCCACAGTATATGGGATTGTCCATTTGTAATGAAATGAAGATTTTTTTGTATTCTCATTAACTCAGGTAGCAGGCATCCGTAAAATGTTTCTTTATCTCCCTCCATTCCTATATTCCTCTCCGGAAAGCACGATAACTTTATTAAAAGTGATATTATAGTTCATACTTCAAGGAGTTTGACACAACATAATGATATTTTTTTAGGTGATCGATGCATTTAGGAATCCTTAATTATTCAAAATTTTAAAGCTTTAATAGGAGATGAAATATTTAGTTGATATTGATTTCGCGGGTTCGCGTGGTTCACGAGTTCTTATTAATCGATTATTGGTTCATTGACATCGATGCTTGACATGTGTCAACATCGATGTTTCGATGTTTAAGACATGATAACATCGATGTTAAAACATCGATGTTTTAATTTCTAACATCGATGATCATCGAACATCCCTAGTCTATGACAAAGAACAAAAATATCAAATTCAAAACACCGGTAATTCGATATGTAATTACTGACTATGTTCTATTCAATTTTAGTAGAATAAATGTGAATTGTGACCGTAAATCGTAACTCAAGCTCGTATATAACTGTTCTCTAGTATATAGTCAGTAATCTATGATAACTGTCATAAAATAAAAACGACTCTTCGACTCTTTAGAAGTAAATAATGAATAATAAAAATAGTGCGCTTACATTCTGTTGACATTCGCTTGATTGACGATTTGGTTTGCTGTTATTCCAGATTTCGTGTATGACTTGCAATAAAAATGTGCAAGTCGTTTGTTCTTTTTCTGGCTTTCACCACAGCTTACGCCGATGGGTTCACAAGGTATATTTTATACTTATTATCTATTTTACGTTTTTAATAGAAATGATTCACTGAGGGCTTTCAACTTTTTTTCACTTTAATTGTATTGAAAAAAAAAATAGGGATTACGATATAAAATATGTAACATAAAAACTAAATATATTTACTGAAACTTTTTACTAACTATATAAACAAAATATGTGTATAAGCAACGTAATGTACATTTACATCGCATTATCAGGGTGCCGCTGTTCCGCATGCAGTCCGTGCGCAAGCACTTTCATGAAGTGGGCACCGAGTTGCAGCAAGTAAGGCTTAAGTATGCAGCAACAGGGCCAGCACCTGAGCCTTTGTCTAATTACCTTGATGTAAGTATTTTTATAGAAATACCAAAATAACAGACTAGTGATGGAAAGCAGTATTCTCAGTGCAAGTGTATGAACAGAACTGATGCATGGTTGAAAAAGCCGTACACCATTAGTCAACTTCAAAAGGAAGAGACTCTTATTGAATTAATGAATGATGAAAGATTTTATATATTTAACAGATTTATCCATATCCTGTAGCTACACAAGCGCCGTTGTGGAGAGTTTTTAAACTGTTATTTACTGCTTACGGATATACACATTTTCAACTATTCTCCTATGGAAGATTGTCCTCCTTACATCTATACTCCATGCACATGACGAATGAACAAGTTTTTCGTAGTCTGAAACGGATTGTGTAAAACACATTTTTTTTAAATATATTTTGTCTTCTACCATTGACACAAAGTTTGTTGGCACAAGAGAGTGTAATCACAATGTGAGGGGAGGGGCGACTACCTGTCAGTGCGCCCTAATCTGAGCACAAGCAGTATTTTGTCTCACTCTTACCCGATAACACTTCCTTTTCTTACACGCTCTTACAAAGCACAGCATTGTCTAAAGATACACCCTTGTAATTTCTCGAAACCGTGAGTCTTGTCCTTTATTAGCGGGATATTTAAGCTTTCAAGGGTCATATTCAAACTGTCATAATTTCTAAACTATCTTACTTAGGGCTAAGATGTAAGACTTATTTTAAGCACACATTCTGTATTAACATTCAAAAACATGTAGCTTGACAACTTAAATTTTATGAAAAAGCTAATAATTAAAAAAACTGTGATAAAAAACTTTTGTTTCTTTTAAAAATTCTCTTTTGCTCTTTTATAAAAAAGAAATGGCAAATTTGTTATCATTGATTTATTGTCTACATTATTAGCCATCAAACGAGTCCTCTTTCATTTTTATAGGACTTCTACATGGGTATCTATGGCTTAATCAGTACAAGCACCCGTGCCTCATGGCAAAAAAAAAACAAAATGGCTGCCATTTCATCATGGAGAGAGTCCGCCATCAGAAATGGCTGACATTTCATCATTTCATTAGTCGATAAAATTTACCATAATTCAACTTCCCAAAGTCTCCGACACCGATGAATGGACACATATTATATATCGCAGGTATATTGTTAAAGCCGTGATATTACAATTTCACTAGTGATATTTTAATTTAACGGTAGATTCAATCGACTTCATTCCTTACAATTTAAAAAGGTAATTTTATACTTTCACGGTCCCCAGATCACATAATAATGTTTATTTATTAATTTTTTTGCAAAGCGAGCTCGGGACTTAGGGCATCCCGACCCGAACTAGTTAGATTAGAAGCAGATGATAATCTACCGTTCAATTATAATACCACTAGTGAATTTGTAATATCACGGCTTTGACAATGTATATGTCACAGGTATGTGACATATACATTGCCTCGACTATACAGGAGAAAATACTTAGTTGGGGCATAAGTTCTGTCAAAAGCTTATCTAAAATTTTTGAATACTAGTTAGATGAACTTCACCAATATAAAAACATAACGTTTACACTTGCCGAAATAAAAGAGACATTAATTTTCAAATATGGAGAGGTCGAAGAAAGAAGATAGATTAGCGGTTATCACGTTGCACCGCTGTGGTTACGCGCCAAAAGAGATTTTCGAAGACCGTAAAAGGACCCACTGACCTCGTACAGTTGGGACACCCGCGATCATCAAATCAGTGAAGGTGTGAATCCAACGAAATCCTTTTCGTTAACAAAAAATCTTAGTTCTTCAAATGGGCCTAAGCAGAACCGCGGTCAAAAGAATGATCAATGAAGACCCAGGACTATGAGCTTATTGTAAGAAGAGCGGACATTTTTTGAACGAGCCTTTGAAAAAATTAGGTTGGATAGATCCCGCGCTTTGTTACGGCGGTATGCGGGAGAAAATACCGCCAAATTTTGTTTTCGGATGCAAAAATTTTTAACATTGAAGAAAGTTGTAATAAACAAAATGATAAGGTGCATGCCCACAGCCATAAAGAAGCCGGCACGCGTATTACGAGGGTTCAACGAGCACATTATCCTTCATCACTCATGTTTTGGCTTTGAGTCTCATATTCAGGCTAAACTGAGGTGTTTTTCTTTGAAAAAGGTGTAAAAACCAGTGCCAAGGTATACCAAAATACCATTCTAACAAACATAGTAGAACCTCTATCTCAAAAAATGTACAAAAACAGATATTGGATATTCCAACAGGACTCTGAACCAGCTCATAGGGTACGAAGCATGCAAAACTTGTAGATCGCCCATGGAATAGACTTTCCTTTTGACATCGGACATGAAGACTGGCCCTCTTCTAGTCCAGATTTAAGCCCACTGGAATATATGATATAGCAACATTTGGAAGAGAAAGTCTGCGTTAAAATGCGTCAGAATTTGGAATCTCTCCAAGCATCTTTGGCAAAAGCATCGGCAGAAATAGATATGAGTGTGGTGTGTGCTGCAATTGATGATTGGCCGCGTCGATTAAGAGCATGTATTCAAAATGGAGGAGGGCATTTTGAATAATGTAAATAAAATTGTATTCTAAATTAAATTACCTTTCATGTCATATATAATTTCTATATAATTATGTAAAATGTGTATTGTTAATTTTATAAAAAGTTTTTGACAGAACTTATGACCTGACTAAGTATGTACTAGTGTGGGGGTAATTTTTTTTTTTAATTACAATTAGTTATTAAACAGATAACTAATAGGTATATACTTTCTTGAAGGAACATGTTCTTATTTTAAAGAAATAAAAATTACAGTGATTTCGTATTTATAAGACTGGTTATGCTCATTTTACGATAACGAGTAGATATTAAAAATATAATTATTGGAGAGTGTAATTAGCTTTTATTCTCATTAAAGAAATATTTGATTTTTCAATCAAATCATGAACCAAAGAGGTGACTCTGTGTCCCCGCTAGCTGGGTGATGATAACCTCTGGTCTTATCTTGTTATCACAAAATAATATTATTATTGTGTAGTGTCAGTGACGCTTGTATATGTTTGTTACTTGGCAAATATACACAAAGCGTCATGTTTTCGCTCTGGCTGGTTTATGCCTTGCCAAGAGAACAAGGTGATACACTCGTACTCGCAGCTTGTAGCCCGTTTCATAATATTTGTTTTGACCCAAATTGAAAAATATTCACATTGAAACAATATATTATAGACTTTGATGGGTTTGTAAACGCGAATCGGTTATAGAAATTCCTATTGTATTCGATTAAATTTTAGACAGCTTTAAGTACAATCATTATTTTTTGTTATTTTATTACCTTTTTTAACATGGGAAAATGCCTACGCATACCCTCCTCGCGGGGGCAGGAACGGGCTATGTCAGACTAGCACCGACTAAAACCCCATGGTGTTCCACCTTCCTCACATATTGGCAGGGCCCCACCGAAAGAGGATTACTCCTCCCCTTTCTCCTTCTCAAGTATGGCGCACCGGAACCATGTGTTCTGGTGCGCCTCACTTGCGCGCCTTCCTTCACGGCCACCAGATACACCTGCGCAACGGACGCCCCCGTGTCCGATGCGTTAAGATCATGGGGCCAGGAAAAACGAGCACTCAGAAGCACTAGTCTTCCCGAAACCAGCGGCGGATCTGGTCTATGGCTCCGCCGCCAACCAAGATTCGGCTGTGGAGGGTAGGGATAGGATAGGGATACCGACGTATTGCGAGGCGCCGCGACTCCTCTCTCAACTTTTCATTCGCCACTCCTTGTTCGCAACAGTTCTTTGCAAAAAGGTTATCTGGAAGAAATAGTTTCCAGAGTGATAAGACCGCCTATTGTACCTTCTTTCAAATTAGTGTCCGACCGAAGGTTGATTTCTGAGCGAAACCGATTATTCAGCTATTGTCACAATCTTTGGCCGAAGCCGAAACGGAAGACTAAAAAACCTTAAGAAATTCTGTTCAAGATTAGCTAAAATAAACAATATGAACGATTTTAATTATGTAGTACTTTTAAATTATAGGTTTATATTGGCTGTATGATATGTGAAAAAAGGAAATTTAATCATATCTAGAAGTTGAAGTTGATCCAGACATTATAAAAATTGTGTCGCCACGTCCATCGCGTTCTCGCTAATTCCAAATTCGTAACAGTTCGTTCAATTTCGGAGCTTGCTAGAAATCTTCGACCCATTTTGGTCTAATCCGAAGGTGTTTTATTTCGCTGTAGGTAGCCGAAGCCGAAGCCTAGGTTGGACACTAGGTATTTAAATTTTGATTATACTTCAGCATCAGTATTATACTTCTTTTGTATAAACAAATTCCACTCCTCTCATGGTGGCAAAATAGAGGCGAAGTTTTTAATGTAACTATTTAAGAGTTAATCACTCAAAAAGGTAGAATTCAGATATTATTATTTTTATAGTTTTCTTTTAACGATAACAATTGTAGAAAATTAGTCTTAGTTATCATGATAATGCTGCTCCCCAAAAGCACTATTAGCAATTAATTTAAAAATAAGGATTTTATTGTTAAAAACCTTAGATATACAATAAAAAAATGAACAGACTTCGTTTAAGACAAGTTTAGCTTAATATGTTCTAAATGGTTTAAGATATTATCGCCTTCACGCTTTACACCCATTTTCCAAACCACATGAATATCATGTAAACTTATCATTTCCTTTTGTATATTTATTCAACCCAACCAGATGACAATACTCTGTAAATACCTGTATATAACAATAATATTCATCTATATTAAAATAAATATATTCCAAAGAATTGTTGCACTGATTCCAAAACTAGGATTAATGTTGTATCTTAGAATATCAGAACTTTCCGATATAATTTTACAAAATCAAATTTTGCAACCACGCTGGCACAAAACCATTAGTGATTTGAACCGGAGACCTTTTTCTGGTAATGAGGCATTACATCTTAGCCCTCATGGATGACTCGACTAAAGAACAAAAAGTCAAAATGCACTTTTCATAGAGAGTAAATGCAGGCGTGTATGGCTACAGCATCCACTTACTAAGGTGATCAGGGTGATTGGCTCGTAGAGAGGTTGTAAACGAGAATGCTGATCATGGGGTCCCAGACTAGAATCCCAGCTCGGGCCAAAATTAGTTATCGAGTCTTATGCCAAGACATTCTCAATAGTAACAAGTCTGGAGGTTCCTCATAATGCATGTAAAGCTTTGCTCCTGCGCGTGATCTCTCTCCAGTGGTGTCGAATTACTGTCCTATTGGACTATGAGAGTGAGGAATAGAGAGATCCTGGGACAAGTAGTTAATAGTAATACATAAAAGATCTGAAAGAACTGCTTACACGAAGAGAAAAACATCAATAATGTTTTATATTGTCTAGCGGCTTGTCTTTTTTTCTTAAAAAACAAATCTTTTCTTCATTATCATTATTCGTTTAACGATACAAGTGGTACAATAATTACTGAATAACTTTAACCATTAACTCGCAGTCTCAAAAAATAATAATGTATGTCACTCCTCCTGTAAGCAAAATAAATTGGTGACAAACGAGCTAAGAGCCCACCAGATGGTAAGTGGCTCCTGCTGTTGATGGACAGCTGCAACCTAGGTACTTCCAACAAAAGGATGCAAAGACGTGGTCCCCTTGAATGCAGTCAGTCAGTAATTATACTGCCTCCCTGTATCCCTCAGAATTTGTAGCAACCTACCTAAACGAACTACTAAACAGAAAAAACTATGTACAATAGACTTACTGATTTACTGAGTCATCGTCACATCTATACATACAAGTAAAATTGAAGTGTCTGTGTTTGAAGTTGAAATAACTGTCTTTTATTAAACTCGGTAAAATGGTAATTGCATTGGCATTTTTAAAAGTTTTGTCTGTCTGTCTGTCCTTGTTGATGAAACTTTACGACCAGGTAGAGGGCAACGCCAGGAGGGATGACATAGTCTATATGTTATCCGAAAAACTTGGATTAAAAAAATTAAATAAAAAAATAAATGTTTGATTATCTTAAATCTAAATATTAGTGACCACATTAATAGATCCTACTAGACTTGCAACGAATAGTATATTCGGCCACACGCCGCATAACGAATATTCTGCGAAATTACTGGCCGAATAGCCGAATATTAGGCAAAAATATTCGGTCGGGAAGAAACTTAGTAATTATTCTTCAGAGCGTCTATTCTCTGAAGCCGGGGTTGTCTATGAGAACAAAAGGAGTAAACTACTGCCTGATAAGTCTTCCTGCACCATTTTCAAATTTAATTACGATAATTCAAGTGCAATAGACATTTATCTGATAGTTATTTTTTAATTTTTATTGTATGGAAGTGGATTATGTATTATTTAAAAAAAAAAATTATAAAATAATAAAATATTTTCATTTTACCAATTATCTAACTACAATAAAACTTGTTACTTATTGTGTTCAGCATTAGATCGAACAATGTCTAGATGTTCGGCGTTCGATCGAATAGGACAAAAGTGGCCGAATTAGCCGAATACCAAAAATAGCCGATTTATTATTTCGATGATAGATGAGTTTGTTGTAAGTGTAGATCCAAGCCAGGCAACATCAGGGCGAGTCGCTGGGAGATTAATGAAAGTGAGCGAATAAATTGTCGGATAACATATTCTTGAATAGGCTTTTTTCCTATTATGGGCTTAAAAATTCTATAGATGTGATATAATGTGTGTGTGTGCACTTGCAGGCGCAATACTACGGGCCGATCTCCATAGGCAACCCGCCGCAGTCGTTCAAGGTGGTGTTCGACACGGGCTCCTCAAACTTGTGGGTGCCCTCCAAGAAGTGCCACTACACCAACATCGCCTGCTGTACGTAACCGACTACCTGATACATCTTTTATTGATTAAGAGTAACAAACGAGCACACATTCAGCATGATAGTAAGTGGATACTGTAGCCCATAGATGTCTACATTTATCCTCAATTAAGAATCAAAATGCAGATGATATATAATTAGATAGATCATTTTATTATGACTGTTAAAAAGAGTAACCTTAGAGGATATCTAAATCTGAATGACGGGGTGAGAAATTGTATGAAGTGTCATATGTAAGATGTTGCTATGATCAGCATCAAAAAGTAATAGTTCCGTCATAAAGAAATAACGAATGAGAAAAGAGTGCACAGCAAATTTAGGCCGTGTCGGGAAGGGACTCCCCAGACGAAAGTTTATCGACCAAGTTTGCGATGTATTGAAGATGGGCCACATATAAGAATACCCTTAACCGATGAGCATGTGTGCGTAGGTGTATGGATATAAAGCGCTGAGAGAGGTGTGCCAGGATCATGCCAAATGGAAGTGCATTGTCTCTGCATACCCCTCTGAGTGACAAAAGTGAGTGTTTATGACTATGACTTTAGATGATATACGGTAGTAGATTTAAGAAATGATGTTCGAAACATTTAAAGTAATTGAATGGTGTTTGGCACAGTGCTACACAACAAGTACGACAGCAGCAAGTCGCGCTCGTACGTCAAGAACGGCACCGACTTCGCGATCCACTACGGCTCCGGCAGCCTCTCCGGCTTTCTTTCGCAAGATGACGTCACCGTGAGTGCTTATTTTTTTGGAATGAAGGAGGGGCAAACGAGCTTGCAACTCACCTGATTGTAAGTGACTGCTGTCGCCCATGAACAATTACAATTCCAGGGGAATTTTAAAAAGTAGTAGGATCTTTTCTTGAAGGTCCCTAAGTTGCATTGGTTCGGTAAAACCATTGGTGGTAGTCAATAACTACTTTGATCAAATACTTTTTTCTTTGTTTTAGAGTCCTATCATATTGTGTCAAGCATTCTTTTTTATTTAATATTGGAATCAAATGACCGTGTAGTGGCGGTGCAATAATATTCAATACCATCTCATCATCATATCATCCCGTAGACGTGGTAAAAGACGACAGGGGGAAATAAATCAGGGAATGGGTAGCAGCGTCTTCCGAATAACGACTAAAACAACTGCCAACTCGCTTGCCAAGCGTGGTAACTTTGGCAAATATCCATCCCATCTATGAGAGAGGTGTTTGTCCAGCAGTGCACTTTAATGGGCTGTATCAGAATCCAAAGGGAAAGCCCCGCACAGCTTGCAAAGCAAGCCATGTCAAAGCTTTGCATTAGTAAAATCTCAGAAGGGTAAATTAAGTAAAAACAAAAAATAGTTTCTGAAGACGGGCTTTAGTTCTTCGATCCACTATGTCTTGGCACCAACTTCTGAAGCCATTATGTGAAATTAATTTTGTTCTTTCAATTTTTGGTTTCTTTTATCTTCTTAAAGTTTAGTAATGTGATAACTTTTGAAAGGCAATTAAACGATTTTTGAATACTTACTGCACACAATTTTATGTCAATTCGTTTTACTATTTTAATTAAACTAAACACTTGATAGTGTGTGATAGCTGTTACGCTGTGGGTCCTACACTTAAAGTCCACTCAGTTAAGAGAATTGTCACTTATATGAGAATTCATAAGAAAAATCTGATGGTTATTATACTACTAGCTGTTTCCCGCGATTTCGCACGCGTGGAATTTATTACTAATGGATTTCATGGGTTTTAATTTTTTTGCGCAGAATTCCAGGTCCACCCTTTTCGGAGATTAGCCGCAACAAAACAGGCAAACAAAGACAGACAGACAAAAATAGTTTTTGTTTTGTTATAAGTACCGTATATACACTTTCATATGCATTTTAGTTCCGTTATTTGGACATTACAAACAAACATTTGATTTTTATATATTTGTGTGGATAATAATCATTGTCACATTGTATCGTATTATGCGAGGGTTTGTGTTGTGCGTGGGGCAGGTGGGCGGCATCGCGGTGCGCGGACAGGTGTTCGCGGAGGCGCTGTCGGAGCCGGGGCTGGCCTTCGTAGCCGCCAAGTTCGACGGCATCCTCGGCATGGCCTTCAAGAGGTAAACTTTTTTTCAAGTGAAAAGGGATTCGCTCAGTTTGTTAGGGTGATCTGGCTAAGATTGGACAAGATCTTTATTAATCAAAAACTACTTATCTATAGGAAAGCAAATATTATAAAAAAGTTGTAGCAATTATTTTATATTCACATTTTACAAACAATTTAAGAAAAATAAATACAAAACAAAGGGTAAAAATATCAAAACATGTTCGAAAGCAAAGAGAATGTCAAATGTCATTTCACTTGACGAAGCGATACAGTAGGAGTTGCCAGGAAAAAATAATAATCTGACAATAATCGATTTTTAGAACCAATAATCTAATCAAAACTTATTTTTTTAAAGGAGAGGGGGCAAACGAGCATACGGCTCACCTGATGGCAAGTGATCACCGCCGCCCATGAACAGCTGCAACACCAGGGGGATTACAGAAGCGTTGCCGGCCTTTTAAAAAGGAATAGGCTCTTTTCTTGAAGGTCCCTAAGTCGTATCAAAGCCTGGCATCACTCAATCAAGGCCTGGTAACACTCCTGCTTATGATGTAATGCAATTTTGCAGGAGCGACCAAACCAAGGCTGGGTTTTTCCTCCGATAGGTACCACAGATGATGGAATAAATAATTCAATTCCCTGTAGCACCACATCAGCGACAGAATCAGCAACAACGCTGGGATCATCCGGCTAGAAGCAAACCCCCCTCCAAGATTAGGATGCATAAAAAGATCGCATCCCTATGAGTTGACCTATAATGCCAAACACGGCGGCAACCTGCAGTATGTAACCGCGATGGGAGCGGGAGTGGCACCGTACTCCGGATCAGACAATGGTTCAAGGAGCGAAAAGGGGCATCAACGGAGACCTGATATCCGTCCGGACGAGAGGTCAGGAGTAGGTCCATCAGGGAAGGTACATGATCTTCCACATCTGTTATCCGCGTAGGCGAAGTACCCAGTTGTTTCAGACCCTATGCCAAAGCAAAGTCATAAACAGATCTACCTGCATGATCGGTTGAACGAGAACCAAGCCATTCAGCATGGTGGGCGTTAAAATCACCAAGTATCACGATCTCTGCGGTTAGGACCTGTTGTAGCACGGAGTCTGTAGCCATCTGGACGTGGTCGATCAGTCGGTCCGTATCGGCATTACCGCTATGTGTCCTATATAGGCACCCGTAGACGCGGGGATGGTCGTCGCTGTCTACGCGTAGCCATAAGATGGACAGGTCCGTGCCTTCCAGGCTGCCGAGGCGTCGAAAACAGATGTCCTCTCTGACGTACAAGGAAACTCCAGCCCGGTGCACAAAGAGTTCTAATCTGTACCCCAGGTAGGAGAGATATGAAGTGTCAGACGGAGAGGACACCTGTGTCTCAGTTAGAAAGATCAAGGCCAGCTTCGCCGTTTCCAGATGGTAGTGGACGGCGTTAAGGTTTGAATGAAGTCCCCTGATGTTGCAGAAATCCACGGGTAACGTGGCAGGCGGCGCCTTTCACTTATTGCTCCGTTTGCCCCGAGCAGGTTTAGTCTCGAGCGGAATTTCGCCCCCCCCCCCTCAGAATACGAGGAGCAGCCTGGAATAGTACCCACACCCAGGAAGAGTAGGGGAGATTGGGCGTGGATGCTCAGCGAGGAATTCTCCGTCACCGGGGGTGCCGGTACCCTCCTGGGGTAGTTTTATATTCAACTCTGCTACCATATTAAGGGGGGAGGGGAATTAGGCCTGCACCTATCAGACGAATTGCAGAAGCAAAGCTTCTACTTCACGCCGGTCTTCTGTGAAGTCGTGGTACCACCCTGGTTTGAGCCGGTCCATACGTGCAACAGCAAAGGCTGCTGCGTGGCTCTACCACTTAAAAATGTATATTATATATGTTAAAAAGTAATAAATAACGTTTTTGATTCTTTTATTTTAAAACAATGTAAGTAAATGAGTATAATCTTCTCATACAGTATTTATGTGTACTCGTTTTGCAGACATACATTTTTTTTGTTACCATAGTTGATTATCCAATCGATTACAGACTGAAATTGATGTTTTATTTCAGTGCTGGTAACACTGAATCAAACATATGGCTATGCTTTATGTTTCATATACGTCTTTGTTTATAACTGGGGTGGATACAGTATACTCTTTATTTCGACCTGTACCTGGCCACTATGTAATGTCCAAAAATATTTCTTTCAGAATTAATAATTTTGTTTAGTAAAAATTATTCTCAACGGGCATCCTGGTTTCCCCTTTTTCTACATCATTATGATTTGAAACTCATTTAAACGAAAAAGCGACATTGAAAAGAGACCAATATATATATATAAAAAATGGTGTGTGTGTGTGAAGGAATATAGTGTTTACTACAAATTAATATTTTAAATTACATAAAGGCTACAACTATCCTACTTCTGATACTTTGTGTTTTTCTCATTCTCTCGAAGTTTAGTTTCCTGAAGGTTTCAGTTGTTCCGCGTCTAAACTGCACATGTGTTATATTTTTATATTGTGGAGAAATCCGAATGGATACCTACGATAGTAGCGCAATAAAACTCCTACCGACAACTCCAAGGTGGTCACCATCAGCATATACGAGGGGTCCTGGGATCTTTGTTCGGGACGCAACGGGGCTCTTCTCTTGCTTTGTTTGATATAAAACACATCTAGCATTCCCATAGTGTTATCACAGTGTCTCTGAACCACTTCCAAGTAACTGTCTTCCTTACATTGCTAAGCCTTAACCCAGAGGCCAAATTTCTGATAAGGGACCGTCATCGTGAATATGAACTATAGAGCACAAGACTACTGCTGAACGCTCTTGATGCTCTTACGTTATCCACAGCACAAAATTAGATGATGGATATTTATACGTCGTTACCTCGCGGCGAACTTACACAATCCCCATATAAAGGAGACAATTAATTTTTCTATGGAGAATGGGCCCACTACAAATTTTAAAGATTCTCAATGAAATGCATGTTGATTTATTCCTTATAATCCATAGATTACAATACTATTATTAGTTTTACTGCATCTAAACGGAGTCCTGAGAAATTAACAAATAAAATGTGAATCTAACAATAACCTAAAAACAAACTGAAAGCGATTTTCTAGTTGTATTCATTGGTATTATAAGTTAAAATAGTGCACACTTGACTAATAGTACATATAAAACTAAGCTGTAGGTATATTCAGCATTTACAAATACTTTAAAATCGATGTAAAACCTTTCACTAGTTCCGGCAAAACATAGTGCCTGTCTGTGCACAAATGTCGTATGGATTCCATTTTGACATGTATTGATTGATTGTGAGTGTGAATTCTAAATACCAATTATTGAACAATGATAAACAAAAAAAAAAATGAATTTTTGAACTTGTTGACTTGTTATAATTTCAGATATTTAATTGAATCAGCAACCTTTTTGCGCAATGATGTAACATCTTGTCTTGACAATGTAATTACTAATATAGATACAACAAATATTGACAGTAGAGTAGAGCATAATGGTCTCGCAGACGGTCACGCTGGTTTATTTTGTACAGTAGAATTGGAAAATAAAATGAGTCATAACATGAATGAAAGTATAAAAATTAGTCGTAGAATTTTAAGTGACCACAGCTCAGCAGAATTTAGAAAGCAAATTAGCAAAATAAATTGGCACAATCTAGGAATGAATTCTTTTCTCAGTAAATTAAGTTACACTTTCAAAACTTGTTATAAGAAAAGAACGAGAAAAATACATTGATTAAAACTACTTTTACGGATTTTATCGCGTTTATTTTACTTTTAATTACTTTTATTTTTAATTCCCGACGTTTCGGGCGCTTTCCAGCACCCATGGTCACGGGGACTGAGATGACTGACGTCCCGATGTCATTGTTAAACCCGGAGTACATTCAGCTTTTTTAATTATTGTTTATGGTCCGATCTATGCAAAATGAACTGACTATATCCTGAGGTCTTGCAGTCATACTACTAGACATAGTTCATTTTGCATAGATCGAACCATAAACAATAATTAAAAAAGCTGAATGTACTCCGGGTTTAACAATGATATCGGGAGGTCAGTCATCACAGTCCCCCGTGACCATGGGGCTGGAAAGCGCCCGAAATGTCGGGTATTAAAAATAAAAGTAATTGAAAGTAAAATAAACGCGATAAAATCCGTAAAAGTAGTTTTAATCAATGTGTAGCGTTCCCGTAAATATAAGAAATCATTATGAGAAAAATACATCCTAAAAAAATGCATTACAGTGGATCACTAAAGGTATTAGGGTTTCAAGTAAAATGAAAAGGTCTCTGACATTAAATGTTAAAATACGTAATGGAGTGTTTGCAGATAAATATAAAAGGTCATATATACAGATATATAGAAGAATATTGAGAAAAGCAAAACAAATAGCTATACAAAGAAAAATTGAGTCGGCGTTAAATTCTAATAAAAAAATATTGTAAATGGAAGTAGGAAAAATTCGTTTCGTAAAAAAGAAGAGAATATACTACTAAAGGTAAACAATAACATCGTAAGTAATAAACGGGATGTAGCAAATGGTTTCTCAAGTCATTTTAGTGAAACTAATTCATTAAGCAACAACGCTAGTGATTCAATCTCCGCACAATTAATTCTCAAAGTGTGCAGAAAATTGTAACAGACATGCCTTTTAAGATTATTACTAGCCATGAAATTTTGAAAACAGTTAAGGAAATGGAAAATAAAAGATCACATGGTTATGATGAAATACCCATTAAGATTATTAAAGCTAATATTGATATATTGGTTGAACCTTTAGCTTATCTTTTCAATAAGTGTGTGGAACAATCTCTGTTTCCTGATCAGCTTAAGGTTGCACGAGTACTTCCGGTGCATAAAAAGGGAAGTAAAATGGACCCCAAAAACTATAGACCGATTTCCTTGCTACCAATTTTATCTTAAATTTATGAAAAGCTGATAAAAGTAAGACTAGTAGGACATTTGCGACAAAATAATATATTAAGTGAGAGGCAATTTGGTTATC